ATCGATCTAGGGTTTGGTTTACTAGGTTTCATGCAGCGGAAGAATAATCTAAACCTAGTCAAACGTCACACGCAACAAAACTCACAAAAACCCGAAAGAACATGTATATCACCGTAGGAATCAAATACTTACCTCTTTCCTGAAGATCTAAAAGTAGCAATCGATCCAGGGCCTGTTTTAATCACCAAGAGCTGAAAGTACAGTTCCTCTACACGTATCCACACCGACGGGAAGGATTCCAAACGCTTTTGGAACTGATCTGCTAGTATATGTGAAGTAAATAGGGTTTCCAAGACTTGGGATCAAATCCCGGGAACTAGAACCTCAAAAGAACGATTTCTCTTGTGTTCTACGTCTGTCTAGGAGTTCAGAATAACTATCTCTTGGTTGGGACGACATCCTTTAACCTTTTTATTAAGTCTGAAACCCTAATCTTTGCTAAAAGAAAACTTTTCGCCGAGATTTGACTCGGTCGAGTCAGAACGAATCAGCCCAAGCCCATCACAAACATTTGACTCGGTTGAGTCAAAACATCAGCCAAGCCCAAAAACATTTTTTGGGCTTCGACTCGTATGTGCACCTAAATGGAACTGACTCGGTCCGAGTCAAAGACTGACTCGGTCCGAGTCAGAAGGCTGAGACCGTTTCTCGACACTTGATTTGATCCAAAACCGTTTGTTCGGTCAAATCCAAGTCTTCTTTTCTGATACTTCACATGTAAGTCTGTCCCTAATGGTGTATGACCCTGTAGGCCCATTCGCAGTGGCAGCAGCCTCGAGAACCATTCCCGATCTACAAGTCATGGTTAGCCTCTAGCAAGACGCCATGAACACCCACGTTGAATTGAGTTAGAGGCGATCTAACTAAGGCAGTAACAGCTCAAATTCTGATCCTTTGTCTCACGATATCATATGTTGAATAAGGACATAGTTTGAGCCACCCTTCAGGTTCAACCGCTTTCTCGTATCGGCAAATCAACTAATAAAATAGATGCAACTTCATCTATAGCGTGGCCACGCGTTTTTCATAGTCCGATTTCCACGAGAGACCCAACGATATCTCTCTCATTAAGGAGGTGACAAGTCCCGTATTGCATGTCTACTATCTCCAACGTATCTGATCAACGCCGTTATAATCATCCTGCTAAAGACTACGTTTGACGCAGTCAAAACACGTCACTCCCCATTCCTCATATCAGATACTCTAGACA